AAGACACCCTATATCACCGTCTCTTGACACTACACCTCCCCCAGCGCCGTATTGATCCGTCGCATGTGTGAGTGTGTCGCATGCGTGTCTCATGTGATTGGCGCGTGTGAGAGTGCTTACGTTTGACACCCTGTGACATTTCACTTTTATTTTTTAGTGATTGACGCCAATATCTACAAGAGTATCACAGATGGTCCAATGCATCTCTATGGTCTATGGTCTGCGGTCTAGTGGATATGGTCAACACGTAAACACGCTCAAACGAGTATGACAGCTTTTCAGATTACAATGGAGTGAGCAATGCAGGGCCATTACACGCAGCTGTATAAGGCAACGCAGCGTTGAATGCCTTTGTACATGAGCGTTGATATGAACATCAATGAACCGTGAACGCTATAAACTGTAAATATGTTGAATTGTGAACTATGTATATCGCCACCCGCGGACGTCATGAACTGTGGACATTATGAGCTGGACGTTAAATACGCGTCTTGAATAAATTCTGATCATGTCGGGAGCTACCCAGATCAAATGCGAGTGTCATTCAAACGTTCAGAGTAGCCGAATATAAATGAGATTATGGCCAAACTAGGTTGGACACCGGAATTGGATCCAATTCCGCTGCAGTCGAGCACACGCTTGGTTAAACATACGAACGAAAACGAAAGCGATGGTCCACCTCTGTATGCTCTGTTTAATCTGGGCAACGGATGCACAACTGCATTTGATCCAACGCAAGGAAACAAAGAACTAGTCGAGGGTTGGCCTCTCGCCAGCCACTTTGGCGGCCACACGCGGTCTAAAGGAACAATGCTTTGACTGATCTGGTTAGCATCCATCAATGGTATGAGACACTGACCACTTGGACCGCTGTCTTTAACATCGCGAGTGTTACGCCACGCAGGCATCAGTCCGTGATTGCTGGGGCGCCCAATGACAACAAGCCTACGCGTTTCGTCGCGCAACTGGTCAGGCCGCGCCGTTCAGTTCACGGTTCTCCGTGGAGACATGATCGTACACTGTCAGTGCCTCCGTGGCAGCGGGACATGTCGCCAGAAGTCACGCGGGGAGACGGAGGAACGGTTTGAATTTCGAATGGCGATAGATCTCACAGGGCAATGACACAATGGGCAACAGCATACATTCTAACATTCATACATTCGCGAAACGTGGGAAACACATGCTATTCTTAGAAACATTAAGTGAGTGGGTCATGTGCACTGAGTGCAGTTTATGACAACATATGACAAGGACCCCTTAGTTCGATCGCTGTAAAAGTACCAGTTTGTCTCAGTCTCAAGCCTCAGTCACCAGCTACCACATGGAGCAGCACCATGCGATATGCACAGGACAGATAATCGCCGCAGGTATAGACGGATAAGTGGGTAAGTATATATACATATATATATACATATATATATATATATATACATATATATATATATATATATATATATATATATATATAATATATATATATATATATATACATCAACGGTTTTCTTCTTATGCCTAATCGTTACGACTAAACTTTCGTGACAACGCCATGCACTTCTCCTTGACCCCCTCCTTACGGTGTAAGTGGAGCTAGAAATACTTTCCACTCGTTCACGTCG